TAGGATGGTGGAGGTAAGGTCTTCAAAAGCATGACGAAGGTCTAGAGAATGGTGGAAGTAAGGTCTTCAAAAGCATGAGGAAGGTCTAGAGAATGTTGGAAGTAAGGTCTTCAAAAGCATGACGATCTTCTAAAGAATGATGGAAGGTCTTTAAAAACATGACGAAGGTCTAGAGAATGGTAGAGGTAAGGTCTTCAAAAGCATGACGATCTTCTAGAGAATGTTGGAAGGTCTTTAAAAGCATGAGAAGGTCTATAGAATGGTGGAAGTAAGGTCTTCAAAAACATGAGAAAGTCTATAGAATAGTGGAAGTAAGGTCTTCAAAAACATGACGAAGGTCTATAGAATGGTGGAGGTAAGGTCTTTAAAAACATGACGAAGGTCTATAGAATGGTAGAGGTAAGGTCTTTAAAAACATGACGAAGGTCTACAGAATGGTGGAGGTAAGGTCTTTAAAAACATGAGAAGGTCTATAGAATGGTAGAGGTAAGGTCTTTAAAAACATGAGAAGGTCTATAGAATGGTGGAAGTAAGGTCTTTAAAAGCATGAGAAGGTCTATAGAATGGTGGAGGTAAGGTCTTTAAAAGTCCAGACTGTGAGGTGACCACCTTATGAAGGTGGCAGCAAAGGAAGCTTCGGCTTAAGCCCACACCACCACCTACAACCATCTCCACCACCTACAACCATCACCACCACCTACAACCCCTTGGACCGCCAGGATAACTTTTAATACACAATTTGGGACAACTGCTCCATCTATAGCTATAGCCTTATATTATCTGGTGCATCTTTAGCTGTAGACTAGTGTAGACTAGCCAGCCAAGTGACATATCACTTGTTCACAAGCTGTGGGTGTGTCACACAAAATCAGCCAAGCGTGAACGACTCGGTTCTATCAGGACTTGGTACAGTTGGAACTGTGTGTCATGTTTATTGCTGGCAGACAAGTGGAATTTGGTTACCTCTCTAGATTGGAGAGTAAGCACACAAAATCCCCCTCCTCCCCCGAGTGTAAATCATTAGAACTAGGTCCCCAAGGGTTTCGTTTTTCTTGTTAAAGTAAAAAAAAAACGTTTAAAATGTTTAAAAGGTAACAGTCAAAACAAGATCAACGATCAGTTGGCCAATGTACAACCAAGAGAACTTCTCAAATTTGATAGAACTAGAGATCTAGATCTAGCCTAGACTAGATCTAGACTCTTGTGATCCTTTGAAGTGAAGACTTTATTTTAGACGATAATTTAATTATAGACTATAAATAATTATTAATTAAATATAAACATTTTATAAATTTAAATTACAATAATAATCAATATTAAAATTTACAAGAAACTAACCTGAAAAACTGAAACAAAATCTTGTTAAAAATTAAATTAATCCAAGTGAAAAATCTCTGAAATGTCACCCAGCTTTTGAGTATGTGATCTAAGCACTAACTGGTTGTAAACTTAGAGCAGACGGTCGTCCGCTGCCATTGTGCCGCTAGAGTTACGTCCCGCTGTCGTTTAGAACCTAAGTGTAGTGGTTTGACTATTTTCAAATCTCGTCGCCCTAGTTGATGACAAGGGAGGGCACTCGACTGGAACTAGCTCCACGTAAGGCGGCTTTCTCTCCGTGTGGTGTAAAATAAAATAAGCAACGGATCAATGTTAGTCGATGTTTATCTCTCTATCGCCTCTTATATCGAGTCGATCAAAACTAATCGTGCACCGACCCTCTGGTGTTTGAAGCAAAGTTAGAGGAAAGTAAAAACAGCAAATTATACATCCACTCTCTTGAGTTTAAAGTCCAGTTTAATGAGAAGCTAATCAGTAATGTAGTTTGACTCTCTTTAAATACATTTCTGCCTCTACCCGTTTAAATATTTTTATGTACAAGATATACTTCTAAATTTTCACATAAAAACACTTAAAGAAATCTCACGTCATGCAATAAATTTACTAAGTTTCTTGTATAGAAAGTTGTTGTTGCGTTTCTTCATTCAATTCATGAACTGGCGATGACTTCCTGATCTCCTTTATTTTTTCATGCACGAGTTTAAGCCTCAAGGATGAAGCCTTTTTTTATGCGACGAAATGTTATTTTGTTATTTTGTTACAAAGTGTGCTATGGATGAGAAGATGCTCTTTGTGTGATCCCTCCCCCTCGGGTAAGTGCCCAGACCCAAGACCCTGGATCTATACATGATGCAACATCCAATAACCTGAGCCACTATACCCATACTTCATACGATAATTTAAGCTACAAATATTTACAAATTTAGTCGGCAAGTTGAGAAATCTTTGAATACTTCTCCGCCTAAAACTTTTCACAAGTCCACCGGAGAGAAAGCCACCTGAAGAATTTCGACATATCTCAATAAACCACACCTGAAGCTATGAGATAAAGTTACCTGATCGTTTGAAAGCGAGGCGGAAAGCTTGGTCAATGGAATGCAAATAAAAGCTGTCTACCTCTGTGTTAGCTCGCGTCTTAACACCAGTGTAACGACGTCTTACGTCTGCTAGAAAAATGTTTGAAGTTGTGTTCCTGCTCGCGTCTACTGAAACCATGTGACCACTACCACTAAAACCATGTGACCACTACCACTGAAACCATGTGACCACTACCACTGAAACCATGTGACCACTACCACTAAAACCATGTGACCACTACCACTAAAAGCATGTGACCACTACCACTGAAACCATGTAACCACTACCACTAAAACCGCTCAGATTGAGGGGTGGGTGTGTTTGCTGACCAACGATTAAAGAACGAATTAGAAACAGTCATTACACCACAGATTACAGCTGATGGTCCATTACACCACAGATTACAGTTGATGGTCCATTACACCACAGATTACAGCTGATGGTCCATTACATCACAGATTACAGCTGATGGTCCATTACACCACAGATTACAGTTGATGGTCCATTACACCACAGATTACAGCTGATGGTATGCTGTAAAAACACTCTGATTTAGATATTTCCATTCACTCGATTACCAAGTTTTTGCGTGAGACTTAATCACGCTCCCCCATCACCTCTGTATCTTACCTCTGAAAGCCCCCACCCCTCCCACCCACCCCGAATACAAATTTCCCCATTCCGTCAGCCGATGAAAGTACTTGGTCTAGTTGGAGACGTGATTTAAGATTGTAATTTAAGGCGGACGTGGTATCTCATTATACAACAGACCACGCCCGTAATGAAATTCTGCTCAAGATCTTTGTAGTACAACTAATCTAATAGATTTTTAAAGTTTGAATCTAGACCCCTGTCTACGCCATGATCCACATACAACCACAGGACAGTCCTGTCCACATACAACCACAGGACAGTCCTCTCTACATACAACCACAGGACAGTCCTGTCCACATACAACCACAGGACAGTTCTCTCTACATACAACTACAGGAGGTCCTCTCCACATACAGCCACAAGACATCCATACGTCAAGATCCGCGGTTGGACACGTCATGCGTTGTTTAGCCCTCAATGTGCTGACAGTACACAATGTGTTGTGAATGATTAACATAACTCACACCTCAGCACACAACATTAGCGAAACAGTAATCGAATATTCTGTTTTCTTAACACCTCACGTCTGCTACAAATGTGATCACACTGTGACGTCAAACACGTTACTTCAGGCTTCACTTTAGTATTCACTGATCACTTGAGGTAACACTTTTACTAAAATAATACACAAAATTACATTTTTCTCCATTGACTTAAAACAAATGGACTGTTTAATAGTCACAAGATCTCCATTATAATAGCAAGATTTGCCCCCCCCCCCGAAAGATGAGGGGTATGTTTTTATTTAAAATTTCAGCACTAATAATAGCACTCCTGTTTCTAGGGTGCTGATTGCATCAACATTTGGCGAGAGGTTTGGTTGTATTCAAATCAAATATATTCTAGACGGGCCTAGTTCAATGTCCCCCACCTCCTTGTGTAAGCGCTGCTTACAGCCAGTTCAATGTCCCCACCTCCTTGTGTAAGCGCTGCTTACAGCCAGTTCAATGTCCCCACCTCCTTTTGTAAGCGCTGCTTACAGCCTACACAAAGTTTGAAAAGTAGCTGTCCATTAAACACAGAGTCAAGTTAACCAGTAGTGTTTAAACACTCAACAACGTAGGCGTGTAAACACTGGATAACATAAACATATTTAAATGGGTGGAGACAAAAGAGAAGATAACAGGCGTTCACCACATCAAAACAATCGGCATTAAGGTGGTCTAGAAGAAATAGTGGCCACACATTGAAGCTCGATTTGGGTAGATTTTTCAAATTGTGACATTTCTCTGACATTTTGATGGCATTTTTTGTGACATATCTGTGACATTTTTGTGACACTTCCAGAAGTCCCTCACACAACAGGACATTGTAAGGAATTTACCGAGGGTGAAAAGAATGAAAAACATTTCTGCCACAGGTAGCTCAGAGCCCCCCCCCCCCCTGGAGGGGTAGAAATGTTGTCAAGCCCCCAGCACTGTGGCAAAAAACGTCAAGTCTAATGATAAACACGTCCCACATTTTCTGGTCCAACCGGTATTTGAACATTTAAAACGTCCAGGGGAAAGAACTCATAATTTTGTTTAATTAACAAATTGTATCAGTGCTGACGGGACAGGTGAAGTAGTTTCCCTTGACCTACGATGTGGTCAGCCAGGTCAACAGGAGTCTGGTACACACCAGAGCTGGGTGGACTCTCATAGTTCAGCTAAAGTTGACTCGCTGTGCCAATTGTGTGGCTGATTGCTTCAAATGGTTTTATGTAGGATGAAGTTTAAAGCTAATGCTAACACATCTAAATATAAACTTTTTTTTGGATAGGGATGCCATTGTAATTATTTCATTAAAATTAAATTAATCAAGTGCTGGACCTAATTGAGTTAGGGCAAGTTTAGACTGGTGACAAACTTTTACAACAGCTCCAGATTTTCCACATACTGACAAATGTCTCCACACAAGACAAAACATACACAACAACACCTAATTTTTTTTGTTTATTTTGTTTGCTTAATTAGAGTCAGATACACATTACATTTTTCGTTTTTTCTTTGCAGGTGAAGTGGCAGGTGGAGTGGCAGGTAGGCTGGCAGGTGATGTGTCATCTTGTGAATCATTTAACTTTCTTTTCTGTTTCTTCTGCTTCTTCTTGCTAGATAAACTTCTGTGACGAGAAAAAATAAAAGTTACACATTTAATTTCAAATGATTTTCATTTCATCCTAGTATTGGCAATAAAACAGCCCTGTATATTACTTCACATTACATCCCATATAACAGTAGGCCTACTTCCTAAGACACTTCTTTAAAATACAGCATTATGAAGCATTACCTCCCCTGTGTCAAACTAAGATCTGTATTACCTCCCTGTACTTACTTCTCTATACTAGCAATAACTCTGTTGGACAGTCTCCTGAGATCTGTATTTACCCTGGGTTTTAACACAGTCAAATGTTGCTGGACACTGGCATCAAACAGAGGCTGGAACACAAGTTTATAGTACTGCTGAGGGTGGTACAGTTAGTGTGTGGTACAGTGGGTGTCTGGTACAGTGGGTGTCTGGTACAGTGGGTGTCTGGTACAGTGGGTGTATGGTACAATAGGTGTCTGGTACAGTTGGGTGTCTGGTACAGTGGGTGTCTGGTACAGTAGGTGTCTGGTACAGTAGGTGTCTGGTACAGTACGTGTCTGGTACAGTTGGGTGTCTGGTACAGTTGGGTGTCTGGTACAGTGGGTGTCTGGTACAGTGGGTGTATGGTACAATAGGTGTCTGGTACAGTGGGTGTCTGGTACAGTGGGTGTCTGGTACAGTTAGGTGTCTGGTACAGTGGGTGTATGGTACAATAGGTGTCTGGTACAGTGGGTGTCTGGTACAGTGGGTGTCTGGTACAGTTAGGTGTCTGGTACAGTAGGTGTCTGGTACAGTACGTGTCTGGTACAGTTGGGTGTCTGGTACAGTTGGGTGTCTGGTACAGTGGGTGTCTGGTACAGTACGTGTCTGGTACAGTTGGGTGTCTGGTACAGTTGGGTGTCTGGTACAGTGGATGTCTGGTACAGTGGATGTCTGGTACAGTGGGTGTCTGGTACAGTGAGTGTATGGTACAGTAGGTGTCTGGTACAGTGGGTGTCTGGTACAGTGGGTGTCTGGTACAGTTAGTGTCTGGTACAGTTGAGTGTCTGGTACAGTGGGTGTCTGGTACAGTAGGTGTCTGGTACAGTAGGTGTCTGGTACAGTGGGTGTCTGGTACAGTGGGTGTCTGGTACAATAGGTGTCTGGTACAGTAGGTGTCTGGTACAGTAGGTGTCTGGTACAGTGGGTGTCTGGTACAGTGGGTGTCTGGTACAGTGGGTGTCTGGTACAGTGGGTGTCTGGTACAGTAGGTGTCTGGTACAGTTGGGTGTCTGGTACAGTTGGGTGTCTGGTACAGTTGGGTGTCTGGTACAGTTGGGTGTCTGGTACAGTTGGGTGTCTGGTACAGTGGGTGTCTGGTACAGTGGGTGTCTGGTACAGTTAGGTGTCTGGTACAGTTGGGTGTCTGGTACAGTTGGGTGTCTGGTACAGTGGGTGTCTGGTACAGTGGGTGTCTGGTACAGTAGGTGTCTGGTACAGTTGGGTGTCTGGTACAGTAGGTGTCTGGTACAGTAGGTGTCTGGTACAGTTGGGTGTCTGGTACAGTGGGTGTCTGGTACAGTAGGTGTCTGGTACAGTTGGGTGTCTGGTACAGTTGGGTGTCTGGTACAGTAGGTGTCTGGTACAGTAGGTGTCTGGTACAGTTGGGTGTCTGGTACAGTGGGTGTCTGGTACAGTAGGTGTCTGGTACAGTTGGGTGTCTGGTACAGTTGGGTGTCTGGTACAGTTGGGTGTCTGGTACAGTGGGTGTCTGGTACAGTGGATGTCTGGTACAGTGGATGTCTGGTACAGTGGGTGTCTGGTACAGTAGGTGTCTGGTACAGTAGGTGTCTGGTACAGTTGGGTGTCTGGTACAGTGGGTGTCTGGTACAGTAGGTGTCTGGTACAGTTGGGTGTCTGGTACAGTTGGGTGTCTGGTACAGTTGGGTGTCTGGTACAGTTGGGTGTCTGGTACAGTGGGTGTCTGGTACAGTGGATGTCTGGTACAGTGGGTGTCTGGTACAGTAGGTGTCTGGTACAGTAGGTGTCTGGTACAGTTAGTGTCTGGTACAGTTGAGTGTCTGGTACAGTGGGTGTCTGGTACAGTAGGTGTCTGGTACAGTAGGTGTCTGGTACAGTGGGTGTCTGGTACAGTAGGTGTCTGGTACAGTAGGTGTCTGGTACAGTTGGGTGTCTGGTACAGTGGGTGTCTGGTACAGTAGGTGTCTGGTACAGTTAGTGTCTGGTACAGTTGAGTGTCTGGTACAGTGGGTGTCTGGTACAGTAGGTGTCTGGTACAGTAGGTGTCTGGTACAGTGGGTGTCTGGTACAGTAGGTGTCTGGTACAGTAGGTGTCTGGTACAGTTGGGTGTCTGGTACAGTGGGTGTCTGGTACAGTTGGGTGTCTGGTACAGTGGGTGTCTGGTACAGTTGGGTGTCTGGTACAGTTGGGTGTCTGGTACAGTTGGGTGTCTGGTACAGTGTCTGATACAGGTAGTGTCTGGTACAGTAGGTGTCTGGTACAGTGGGTGTTTGGTACAGTGTCTGATACAGGTAGTGTCTGGTACAGTAGGTGTCTGGTACAGTGGGTGTTTGGTACAGTGTCTGATACAGGTAGTGTCTGGTACAGTAGGTGTCTGGTACAGTATCTAGCATGTAAGATGCAGCAAGGTTCCAGCACTTACCTGAGAAACAATGTCCCCCCTGGCCTGTAGAGCAACAACCAGCCCCAACATTTCCTTCATCAACATCACCTTTAGGTTGTCCTTATCTGTGCTATTGATCAGCTGGAAAAGTTTGGAGGTCAATAGGTCAAAGGGTGGTAACGTGGTGGGGAGGGGGCAAGAAAATAGAATTGGAATAGCAAAAACAAAATGTTGCAGGTGAAAATGTGATGGTGTTTGTAAAAGTGTAGGTGCTAAGCTTTTTGGGTGGTGTGGTGTAGACTGGGGTGGCCAGTATGTATAAAGTGGTGTGGTGTATGTGGTCAGTGTGTATGGTGTGGTGTAGGTGGTCAGTGTGTATGGTGTGGTGTGGTGTAGGTGGTCAGTGTGTATGGTGTGGTGTGGTGTATGTGGTCAGTGTGTATGAAGTGGTGTAGGTGGTCAGTGTGTATGAAGTGGTGTGGGGTATGTGGTCAGTGTGTATGAAGTGGTTACAGTGGTCAGTATGTATGAAGTGGTGTATGTGGTCAGTGTGTATGGTGTGGTGTAGGTGGTCAGTGTGTATGAAGTGGTGTGGGGTATGTGGTCAGTGTGTATGAAGTGGTGTATGTGGTCAGTATGTATGAAGTGGTGTATGTGGTCAGTATGTATGAAGGTGTGTATGTGGTCAGTATGTATGAAGTGGTGTGGCCCTCTGAAGAAAATGTTTTACCTGACTGAGACAGTCAGCTGTTTCTGTCATCCACCTGGACATGTGGTCTCTGGCTTCTTGCTGCATCTGGTGATGGGGGGGGACGACGACTTATTAGATGAAACAAATGATTGGCAAAAATCCCACCCAGGTGTACCCACCTATCCCTGACCTTGACTAACATGAGTGAATAAGTAGGTACAATAGTAAATGATGTGCATAAGAGTGATGTGTGTGTAGATTTACCCCATCAGTTTTCCGGGCCAGACTGGCAAGTAAAGTACAACACACCAGCTGAGGAATAAAGGGAAGTAAATCTTCAGGTTTAAAAAAAAATTTCCATTATAAAGTAATAAGATAACATTATCAGACATGTCACCATTCAGTAGATAGACTGGCTGAGTTTGATCACCTACCCGACAATGTGTCTTTGTGGTCTCATCTTTCAAACATCCCACCAACATGTCACTCAACACCTGAAACCTCAGCTGTAGACAAGAAACACTAGGTCATTCAATGGCTGATAGCTCCAGTTATTGCCCTTTAACAGGGAAATAGAATGTGTGTAAGCTAGAGTTACTGCCCCTCTACACAAGAAAAGACGTTAGACAGACAAAAAAAAGTTACTGCCCTTCCACAAAACTTCAGAAAAAAAACTAGAGTTACTGCCCTCCACACAAGATAAAAATAGCCATAAAAAAAAACTAGAAGAAAAGAGACACAAAAAAAAAAAAACTAGAAGAAAAGAGACACACAAAAAAAAAAAAAAACTTACTGGATCCAGCTCTATCAGTGAGGTGAAGAACAAGACGTGGGGCTTGGTTTGTCTGCAAATAGAAAACACTCAATGACATTTCAACAAAATTGACCATTTCAACAAAATTGACCATTTCAACAAAATTGACCATTTCAACAAAATTGACCATTTCAACAAACTTGACCATTTCAATAAACTTGACCATTTCAACAAACTTGGGAACTTCATTAGCTCTCTATTTTGTTTATTTTGTGTTTATTTTTTGCATTCTATTTTAAAACAGGTTGGTAAGTAAAATAATGTACCAAAAAAGTTTTATAATAATAATATATTTATAGAATTCCCACAATTTTATCTAAAATGAACAAATAAATACTAAAAAAATGACCAGCAATTTTTCCTAGAAATAAGTTGTTCATTCCATTTCTTGCCAAATACCAAAATATTTTCTATCTTCAGTTGATTGTTAATTAAATATAAATATACAGATGAATAATGTGTAATTTCTAAATAACATTTGAAAAAAGATGAGTCTATTTGCTGGATGAGTACTTAAAAAAAGGAGAACAAATATTTTTAGACAGAACGTAAAAATAATTTAGGGCTTAATGAGTGGACGACTTGAAATTTTTAACAAAGGTGACAACACCCTAGGTTCTCAATTTAAGTTGTGTTCACACTTGGCACAAGTCTACTTAACAGATGACTGCGTCAACAGATGACTGAACCAACAGCTCGACTTACTTTCTGAGGATGATGTTCTGTAGCAGGTCCTTCACCAGCTGGACACATCCAGATACGGCAGAGTTCTCCTAGAGAGACACGTAGACAGGCATATATGTAGTGGGTCAAACAAGTTGACATGTATGTAGTGGGTCAAACAAGTTGACATGTATGTAGTGGGTCAAACAAGTTGACCAAATACGTATGTAGTGGGTCAAACAAGTACACATATGTAGTGGGTCAAATCAGTTGATATGTATGTAGTGGGTCAAACAAGTTGACCAACACGTATGTAGTGGGTCAAACAAGTACACATATGTAGTGGGTCAAACAAGTTGACATGTATGTAGTGGGTCAAACAAGTTGACACGTATGTAGTGGGTCAAACAAGTTGACATGTATGTAGTGGGTCAAACAAGTTGACACATACGTAGTGGGTCAAACAAGTTGACACGTATGTAGTGGGTCATACAAGTTGACACATATGTAGTGGGTCAAGGAAGTGTATGTACAAGTATATAGTTGGTCAAACAAGTATGTGTACATTTAGGGATTAGACAGAGTAGACATACATAATTATGTAGTTGATAAAACAAGAAGACATGTCTGGTGTACAAACCTGGTTGTTCTGGCTGTAGTTTAGGTTCATCTGAAACAGACAACATGGAAGAGATAAGAAAACAGTGGACAATGTACTGCCATCTATAGTGTTAAACATGTTGTAAAGGGAAGTTTTGTACAACCACATGACTTACCACCATATACGCTGCCATGGCGACTGTATTCAGATCAGCTGTGTCGTTTACTAAAAATTTTAAAAATTAAATGGCATCAATAATTTTTATAACAACATCGTCAGATTTAAATGATATTAAAATTTTTTCTCTAGAAACAACAAAAATGTAAGCTGACATCCAAGACATCAAACACTTAGTCAACAGCTGATTGGTTAACTGGTCTACTATCATAAGCAAGAGGAGCAACTCTGCCCACCTTTTTGTGCCAGCTCCAGCAACTCTTGAAACATTGATTTCTGTTCTTCAACTGAATGCACACTGTCTTTAAGGGCCTGTGAAGTTGATGATCAAAGTCAGAAACAAAATAGACCTCAGCATACCTGAGAACAAAATCACTAACAAATAGTGTCTGACCATACATTGTGGAGGGATATAACAAAATAAATAGCTCACCTTGACCTTGCCTTTGTAAAGAAGAAATAAAGTTTTGGCCTTATCACACAACACTCCACTGTCTGATGGATTTGTCTTCAACATCAACAAAATTAGGGGCTTCAGCAAATCCTAGAAAAATATTCAACATGTTTTTGTATAATGGTTTGCAAGCAATAAAATTTTTTTACAAATATTTTTTCATAAAATATTTATTTTATTAATGTTAATCAGTAAAAAATAATTAATAAATGTTTTAAATTCTATTAAAAAAAACATGTATATTAACTAACCAGTAAAAAGTAAATAAATGTTTTAAATTCTATAAAAAAAACATGTATATTTAATAACCAGTAAAAAGTTAATAAATGTTTTAAATTCTATAAAAAAAAAACCTGTAGCCTATATTTACTAACCAGTAAAAAGTCTCCTGCCCTTTCACCTTTGATCAGTACTTCCACAAGGTCAAGGACTCTAGAAGATTATAGAATAGTTCATGTTACTAAGACTCCTATAAAACAATACAGATTCACCTAACCCCCACAAAAATTAATCCCCACTCCCCACAAAAAACAAACCTGAATCCCCACAAAAAACAATCCCCACCCCCCACAAAAAACAATCCCCACCCCCCACAAAAAACAATCCCCACCCCCCCACAAAAACAAACCTGACTCTCAAATTGACAAGCTCTTTCTTTTTTTCCTCCCTAGCCTTCTTCCCCCCTCCCTTCTTCCTCTGCCTGAACACCTCGGCCAGCATGTCATCCAACTTGAACATCTCCGAGTCACTCAGGTCAGGCAGGTCCTGGCCACAGGGATCAAAGAGAACAGGCACAAGTTAGGGTTAGGTAGAATAACAGTTATAGGCTGACACAAGTTAGGAATTGTTACATTACATGTAATAAAGCTGTGAACAACACTTTATCTTGTCAGTGGTGCCTCTATTTGCTTACATCAAAAATTATTATTATCAATTTAAATTTTACATGCCATTTGCCTCCAGTAGTGTAGGCTTACATGAGATATTTTGACAAATGTTTTAACATTTACCTCCTCTTCTTCATCATCATCTAAAGCAGCTTCACCTAGAGCTTGCTTTACAGACTGGCGGAATTTATCATCTACTTTCTCCTCTTCCTGATCATCTGCTGAATCATCTTCTGATTTATCTTCACTTTCTTCATCATCATCATCATCACTCTCTTCATCAGCTATATCCTCATCATCACTATCTTCTTCAATTTCTTCATCATCCTCTGCATTCACCAGAATACCACCAGCATCATCCTCACTTGTTTTTTTGGGTGTAAGAACCTAATCATTTGGATACAAGTTCAAAGAGGAAATTATATTTTACACCACAATATTTTTAATCATATAATCAATATCAAGAGGACAACATTTTTCAAGCTTTTCTTTACTTTGCAACATCAGCTTGTTTGTTTGTTGGTTTGTGGCAAATTTTGTAACTCAATTTTGACCAATTTCTAATGCAGTGATTTCGTTCAAATTATCCAAATACTTTCTTCTTCAAGGGCAATGCATGTATAACTATTTTTAAATCTAATTAGACATTGGATTGTCAGTAAAATCTAATTGAACTGTTTTAAAACTAAGGAGAGGGTGAATTGCTGTAACACACTATGAAGACTGACCTCAGTGATAAGGTTTGACAAGAGACTGACCTCAGTCATAAGGTTTGACAAGAGACTGACCTCAGTGATAAGGTTTGACAAGAGACTGACCTCAGTCATAAGGCTTGACAAGAGACTGACCTCAGTGATAAGGTTTGACTGACCTCAGTGATAAGGTTTGACAAGAGACTGACCTCAGTGATAAGGTTTGACTGACCTCAGTGATAAGGTTTGACTGACCTCAGTGATAAGGTTTGACAAGAGACTGACCTCAGTCATAAGGTTTGACAAGAGACTGACCTCAGTGATAAGGTTTGACTGACCTCAGTGATAAGGTTTGACAAGAGACTGACCTCAGTGATAAGGTTTGACTGACCTCAGTGATAAGGTTTGACAAGAGACTGACCTCAGTGATAAGGTTTAACTGACCTCAGTGATAAGGTTTGACTAGAGACTTACCTCAGTGATAAGGTTTGACAAGAGACTGACCTCAGTGATAAGGTTTAACTGACCTCAGTGATAAGGTTTGACTAGAGACTTACCTCAGTGATAAGGTTTGACAAGAGACTGACCTCAGTGATAAGGTTTGACAAGAGACTGACCTCAGTGATAAGGTTTGACTTACCTCAGTGATAAGGTTTGACAAGAGACTGACCTCAGTGATAAGGTTTGACAAGAGACTCACCTCAGTGATAAGGTTTGACTGACCTCAGTGATAAGGTTTGACAAGAGACTGACCTCAGTGATAAGGTTTGACTGACCTCAGTGATAAGGTTTGACAAGAGACTGACCTCAGTGATAAGGTTTGACAAGAGACTGACCTCAGTGATAAGGTTTGACGTACCTCAGTGATAAGGTTTGACTGACCTCAGTGATAAGGTTTGACTGACCTCAGTGATAAGGTTTGACTGACCTCAGTGATAAGGTTTGACAAGAGACTGACCTCAGTGATAAGGTTTGACTGACCTCAGTGATAAGGTTTGACTGACCTCAGTGATAAGGTTTGACAAGAGACTGACCTCAGTGATAAGGTTTGACAAGAGACTGACCTCAGTGATAAGGTTTGACTGACCTCAGTGATAAGGTTTGACAAGAGACTGACCTCAGTGATAAGGTTTGACAAGAGACTGACCTCAGTGATAAGGTTTGACGTACCTCAGTGATAAGGTTTGACTGACCTCAGTGATAAGGTTTGACTGACCTCAGTGATAAGGTTTGACTGACCTCAGTGATAAGGTTTGACAAGAGACTGACCTCAGTGATAAGGTTTGACTGACCTCAGTGATAAGGTTTGACTGACCTCAGTGATAAGGTTTGACAAGAGACTGACCTCAGTGATAAGGTTTGACAAGAGACTGACCTCAGTGATAAGGTTTGACTGACCTCAGTGATAAGGTTTGACAAGATTGACCTCAGTGATAAGGTTTGACTGACCTCAGTGATAAGGTTTGACTGACCTCAGTGATAAGGTTTGACAAGAGACTGACCTCAGTGATAAGGTTTGACAAGAGACTGACCTCAGTGATAAGGTTTGACAAGAGACTGACCTCAGTGATAAGGTTTGACTGACCTCAGTGATAAGGTTTGACAAGAGACTGACCTCAGTGATAAGGTTTGACTGACCTCAGTGATAAGGTTTGACTGACCTCAGTGATAAGGTTTGACAAGAGACTGACCTCAGTGATAAGGTTTGACAAGAGACTGACCTCAGTGATAAGGTTTGACAAGAGACTGACCTCAGTGATAAGGTTTGACAAGAGACTGACCTCAGTCATAAGGTTTGACAAGAGACCGACCTCAGTGATAAGGTTTGACAAGAGACTGACCTCAGTGATAAGGTTTGACAAGAGACTGACCTCAGTGATAAGGTTTGACAAGAGACTGACCTCAGTGATGAGGTTTGACAAGAGACTGACCTCAGTGATAAGGTTTGACTGACCTCAGTGATAAGGTTTGACAAGAGACTGACCTCAGTGATAAGGTTTGACTGACCTCAGTGATAAGGTTTGACTGAACTCAGTGATAAGGTTTGACAAGAGACTGACCTCAGTCATAAGGTTTGACAAGAGACTGACCTCAGTGATAAGGTTTGACAAGAGACTGACCTCAGTGATAAGTTTTGACAAGAGACTGACCTCAGTGATAAGGTTTGACTGACCTCAGTGATAAGGTTTGACAAGAGACTGACCTCAGTGATAAGGTTTGACTTACCTCAGTGATAAGGTTTGACTGACCTCAGTGATAAGGTTTGACTGACCTCAGTGATAAGGTTTGACAAGAGACTGACCTCAGTGATAAGGTTTGACAAGAGACTGACCTCAGTGATAAGGTTTGACAAGAGACTGACCTCAGTGATAAGGTTTGACTTACCTCAGTGATAAGGTTTGACAAGAGACTGACCTCAGTGATAAGGTTTGACAAGAGACTGACCTCAGTGATAAGGTTTGACAAGAGACTGACCTCAGTGATAAGGTTTGACAAGAGACTGACCTCAGTGATAAGGTTTGACAAGAGACTGACCTCAGTGATAAGGTTTGACAAGAGACTGACCTCAGTGATAAGGTTTAACTGACCTCAGTGATAAGGTTTGACTAGAGACTTACCTCAGTGATAAGGTTTAACTGACCTCAGTGATAAGGCTGATGGCTGCAGGTGTGAGCTGGTTGGACAATGACTTGAACACCATGGCGGTGATGACACGGGTCAGGTGAGACGGCAGGGACATCAGGTGCAGCAAGACCTCAGTCACTACCTCAACCCAGTGGGGCTCTGCTCAAACATAAACACATCTTTTAATTCACACTTCTACATCAGTCACATCAACCAACCCAGTGGGGCTCTGCTTAAACATAAACACATCTTTTAATACACACTTCTACATCAGTCACCACATCAACCAACCCAGTGGGGCTCTGCTCAAACATAAACACATCTTTTAATACACACTTCTACATCAGTCACATCAACCAACCCAGTGGGGCTCTGCTCAAACATAAACATCTCTTTTAATACACACTTCTACATCAGTCACCACATCAACCCAGTTGGGCTCTGCTCAAACATAAACACATCTTTTAATACACACTTCTACAACAGTCACCACATCAACCCAGTTGGGCTCTGCTCAAACATAAACACATCTTTTAATACACACTTCTACATCAGTCACATCAACCAACCCAGTGGGGCTCTGCTCAAACATAAACACATCTTTTAATACACACTTCTACATTTGATGCTCAACTAACACACGGTATGCTTTACATATAAAATCAGTAGAAACTAAATTTACCACAATAAAACACATGAGATGTAGAAACTAAATTTACCATCAGAAAACACATGAAATGTAGAAACTAAATTTACCAACAGAAAACACATGAAATGTAGAAACTATATTTACCATCATAAAACACATCAGATGTAGAAACTAAATTTACCATCACAAAACACATGAGATGTAGAAACTAAATTTACCGTCATAAAACACATGAGATGTAGAAACAAAATTTACCGTCAGTGTTTGCTGTGTCTTTCTTCTTCTTGCCTTTGGCAGCTTTGTCATAACACACATAAATATCCTGTATAGAGTAGGTGGGATGACATTTTTAAAATTAATTTCACATCAAATTTTAAATAATATAATATAAAGGAAGGAAAAAAAAAAGGGGGAAAACAATTCTTAAATCTATGATGTTATAAACTAAAAGAGGAAGTTGCTGTGTTATAAACTAAAACAAAGAAAACTGTCATAAACTATTGAAGAAATCATGTCTGACCTGTAGCAACTCTGAAGCAGTTTTAAAGTCAGTCAACAAATGAAAGGCCAGGTAGGAGAAGAGTATGAGAAAAGCTGAAGCAAACGATGTCTCTTTTTCTTTCTTCATCTTCTGCTCACGGAGGAAACAATGCAATTTAAATTGTGGTCATTTATACAAGATTGCATGAAACTTCACAACACATAAAGTAACTGTGTCTGGTTTACAGAAAAAATATAACTATATCTAGCTGATTTTCTTACCTCTTGTACCTTTAAGATGTGAGTGCACAACTGTTCCCATTCTTTCTTCATCTGAGCAATGTTTCAATAGACAGTAGAGAAGAAGTTATTTATTGAAAAAATGGTATTACAAGGTAAAAATGGTTGAAAAAATGGTATTACAAGGTAAAAATGTATTAACTCAACTTCATCTGAGCAATGTTTCAATAGATAGTACAGAATAAGTTATTTATTTTAAAAATGGTATTACAAGGTAAAAATGTATAAACTCAACTTCATCTGAGCAATGGTTCAATAGATAGTACAGAATAAGTTATTTTTTGAAAAAATGGTATACAAGGTAAAAATGTATAAACTCAACTTCATCTGAGCAATGTTTCAATAGATAGTACAGAATAAGTTATTTATTTTTAAAATGGTATTACAAGGTAAAAACTTAACTCTTTAAGACCAGAACCATGCTCCAAGAGTACCTAAAACATGCACTCAACATTTGCTACAGTTTCCAATATTTACTCCGTTGTTTTCCCAAATCTAAATTTTAAAACGGATACCTAGAACACAATAACGCTAAAGCAGCCATTTAAAATTTTTAAATTCTTACTATTTTCAATTTAGCTGATTTGTAGTTTTCAGATGAAAAAAAGTAAAACCAAAAAGATTTTTTTAACACTGTGGAACATAATTCAGTAGCAGCATCTAAATAGTTGAAGGTGGCAATTAAATAATATACCAAAAACTGAAGAAAAAAGTATTCTAATACAAATCTAATCCACATTTTTAAAATAGGGACTAACTAAAGAGAGAGAGAACATTGTTTTGTTGAACAAGAAAAATTCTGGTCATAAAGAGCTAAATAGGTAAGAGAAAAGTACTTCAATAATTATATTTATCATTTTTTTTTCAGATGAAGTAAGTTGCTACCTCTAGAACACTATGTCCACTCACCTCTACTGACCATTCTTTGATTGGTTTAACTTTGTCTGAGACATACAGAGTCTGAAATAAGTCCATACAAAATGGTTACTTGATTGGTTTAACTTTGTCTGAGACATACAGAGTCTGAAATAAGTCCATACAAAATGGTTACTTGATTGGTTTAACTTTGTCTGAGACATACAGAGTCTGAAATAAGTCCATACAAAATGGTTACTTGATTGGTTTAACTTTGTCTGAGACATACAGAGTCTGAAATAAGTCCATACAAAATGGTTACTTGATTGGTTTAACTTTGTTTGAGACATACAGAGTCTGAAATAAGTCCATACAAAATGGTTACTTGATTGGTTTAACTTTGTTTGAGACATACAGAGTCTGAAATAAGTCCATACAAAATGGTTACTTGATTGGTTTAACTTTGTCTGAGACATACAGAGTCTGAAATAAGTCCATACAAAATGGTTACTCAATCGGCTGACCTAACTTTGAGACATACAGAGTCTGAAATAAGTCCACACAAAATGGTTACTTGATTGGTTTAACTTTGTCTGAGACATACAGAGTCTGAAATAAGTCCACACAAAATGGTTAATCGGCTGACCTAACTTTGAGACATACAGAGTCTGAAATAAGTCCATACAAAATGGTTACTCAATCGGCTGACCTAACTTTGAGACATACAGTCTGAAATAAGTCCACACAAAATGGTTACTCAATCGGCTGAACTAACTTTGTCTGAGACATACAGTCTGAAATAAGTCCACACAAAATGGTTACTCAATCGGCTGACCTAACTTTGAGACATACAGAGTCTGAAATAAGTCAACACAAAATGGTTACTCAATCGGCTGAGCTAGCTTTGTTCATCTGTACCATCGATGGACAACAATGTGAATATTAACCTGTTTTACAAAGTAAGCCCAATTTTTATAATTTAAAAAAATTACCTGAATGTACTGGGTCTGGTAAAACATAAGGTCAAGGTAATGTGAAAACTGGTCATGTTTGCTCTGTTGACCTGGGGTTAAAGGGCAACAACTTTAGTCAGGTTTTAAAACAGTGTAAGTGTTTAAAAAACTAGTCTTAAACAAGAAGTGTCAGGAATTAGGGGAGGTAACAAATGTTTTAATTAAAGAATAAAGTTTAGTACTTTTTTTTTACAAAAGTTTTTTTAATGTTAAAGACAACAAATTTTATATGTTCAAATATAAAATGGTTTGCATATTGATTGAAGTTAATAAGTAACGTGTTGAAACTGGTTGGCAATGAGAAGCAATCATTGGCCAAAAGATGACAAAATAAAAGCGTCACTTGCTACTCACCAGTGGTCAGTGTTGATAAGATGTCTAGACTTTTATAAAACAAAGTTTCACACAGTTTTCTGTTGGGGCTGTTCTCTTCAAAGTTTTGGCATCTCTCACACTGGGGAGATTTCATTCATAATCAGCTTTTGATCATTTGTGAAAATATTTAATTCATAGTCAGCTTTTGATCATTTGTGAAAATATTTAATTCATAGTCAGCTTTTGATCATTTGTGAAGATATTTACTTCATAGTCAGCTTTTGATCATTTGTGAAAATATTTCATTCATATTCAGTTTTTGATCATTTGTGTAAATATTTGATTCATAATCGATTTTCGATTATTTGTGCAAATATTTAATTCAGTCAGCTCTTGATCATTTGTGAAAATATTTAATTCATAATCAATTTTTTATTATTTGTGAAAATATTTCATGCATAGTCAGCTTTTGATCATTTGTGAAAATATTTAATTCATGATCGATTTTTGATCATTTGTGAAAATATTTCATTCATAATCAGCTTTTGATCATTTGTGAAAATATTTCATTCATAATCAGCTTTTGATCATTTGTGAAAATATTTAATTCATAATCAGCTTTTGATCATTTGTGAAAATATTTCATTCATAATCAGCTTTTCATCATTTGTGAAAATATTTCATTCATAATCAGCTTTTGATCATTTGTGAAAATATTTCAGTCATAATCAGCTTTTGATCATTTGTGAAAATATTTCATTTATAATCAGCTTTTGATCATTTGTGAAAATATTTAATTCCTTATCAGCTATTAATCATTTGTGAAATTTTTTTTTAAAGACAATATTCTATGATGATCACAAATGTAAAGGTCCATACTGACTAATTACTTTTTGTAAAGAAAGACTGTTATGAAGCTATCTACTTACATGTTGAACACTCTTGTCTTTTTCCTGTACATGGAAGAATGCCAGTCGCAGGAACAATGCCAACACCGTCTGCTGAATGTTGGGCGTTGTGTGTCTCTGGGAGCATGTGATGTGTTGTAGCTGACGCAGACACCACTCCTGCTGCTTCTGTCTCTTGGACGGATGGTTGGATCTGGTGATATTAGAGGGATGGTTGGATCTGGTGATATTAGAGGGATGGTTGGATCTGGTGATATTAGAGGGATGGTTGGATCTGGTGATATTAGAGGGATGGTTGGATCTGGTGATATTAGAGGGATTGTTGGATCTGGTGATATTAGATTTTAGAGGGATGGTTGGATCTGGTGACAACAAATTATCCGACTAATTATCATAATCAAAACAACAAATGAAGAGACAAACTTACAGAACTCTCCACTTGTCCTTGCCCAGCACCAACTTTATCAGGACAGACACATACGTCTCAGCATCCACCACACTCATCTAGAGTTTTAAATATCAATCATTAAGATTTTATACAATTAGAAGAACTTTAAAACATATCACAAAATGCCAATTACATTAAGCAATTGACATTAACATTGTAAAATTTTTTGAGACAAAACCTATCACTGCATTGACAAAATGTCTTGCCATCCTACCAAATCTATAAGACTAGCACAGTTATGACAAAATGTCTTGCCATCCTACCAAATCTATAAGACTAGCACAGTTGTGACAAAATGTCTTGCCATCCTACCAAATCTATAAGACTAGCACAGTTGTGACAAAATGTCTTGCCATCCTACCAAATTTATAAGACTAGCACAGTTGTGAGAACATGTCGTGCCATCCTACCAAATCTATAAGACTAGCACAGTTGTGACAAAATGTCTTGCCATCCTACCAAATCTATAAGACTAGCACAGTTCTGGGAGTTGACAAGGTCAACCTTGCCAGATCTGCTATCAGCTGATAGAGTGGCTTCCAACTTCCAGATTCTTTCAACAACTTCAAAAATATTGGCACCTGATGTCTTCAGCATTGTGCACCACTGGTTGAACTGGGGAAGAAGATGTACAGAAATACATTTTATTTTTACACAACAAGGTTGTAGCCAGAGGACAGTTAACCAAACCCTTCAACATATTAACACAATAGCTCAAATGTTGCTATAGCCAAACTGTTAGAGACACCACAGAGCTGTAAGAATTGTAAGGAAGTCAGAAAAAAGAAGAGTGTTTGTGTCTTTGTTAAGGCAAATTCTGATGTTTACACACACAAAAATTACCAAATAATCAGATAAGATGTTTTTGTTACACTTAAATAACTTACCAAATGATGAGATCAGCTTTATTTGTTACACACAAAGAACTTACCAAATGATGAGATGTATTTGTTACACTAATTAAACTTACCAAATGATGAGATGTATTTGTTACACTAATTAAACTTACCAAATGATGAGATGTATTTGTTACACTAATTAAACTTACCAAATGATGAGATGTATTTGTTACACTAATTAAACTTACCAAATGATGAGATGTATTTGTTACACTAATTAAACTTACCAAATGATGAGATGTATTTGTTACACTAATTAAACTTACCAAATGATGAGATGTATTTGTTACACTAATTAAACTTACCAAATGATGAGATGTATTTGTTACACTAATTAAACTTACCAAATGATGAGATGTATTTGTTACACTAATTAAACTTACCAAATGATGAGATGTATTTGTTACACTAATTAAACTTACCAAATGATGAGATGTATTTGTTACACTAATTAAACTTACCAAATGATGAGATGTATTTGTTACACTAATTAAACTTACCAAATGATGAGATGTATTTGTTACACTAATTAAACTTACCAAATGATCAGTAGCAGTGACAAGAGGATCATTTTTCTTTGTGATGGAATGGAACACAAATTTCACCAGAGATGGACTTAGTATGAAATCTAGTGTCTGTAGGAGGGGAATAATGAATTCATGAATCCAAAAGGTTTAAAATAATGTCTTGTAATGGTGTGTGATAAAAAACTGCTTGATAATGGAGCTATGGTGTGGCAGGGAGAGATACCTGTTCAGGGTCTGTTACTGTAGACAGGAGTTTGCTGGCTATTTTCAGCCCAATGCATTGTCTGTGTACCATAGCATCCGCTTTCTTCTCAGGGAGCTGTTCCATCAGTTTTTCTACAACACAACAAAGGATGATCAAATTAAATCACTGACATAAAACTAAGGAATCGCTAATTAGATGTTACAGACATTAAGCAGAAAATCATGCATGCAATATAAGAAAGATAAAAAATATTTTTTTAACAGAAATATTGTTTGTTTTATAGCTATGATAAACAAAGGCAAAAAGAAATCTACACTACAAGATTTCTTAAATAAAATATGAATTTACCTCCAATTCCTTTCCAGATAGAAATGACATCTCTGTCATCATCAACCATTTTGGGAAGAATTTTTTCCAAAAGAATTTCTGTTTTCTGCGCTGTAGCCTATTTTATAGTGCAATCAAATAAATAGAGGTAGGTTAACTTTTAAAACAATATCTGCATATTATTTTTTTTTAGCCGAAATAGTTTACAGCTGAATTTGAAGAAATTCATCAAGGAAACAAATATATATTTGAAAATAATACCTTCAGATGTTTTTTTTAAAAATGCAACTAAGAAATCAAAAAAGGAAACAATCACACTTTAACTTACCAAAATAGAATGCATAAGCTTATCATCATTTTCTTCTGAAAATAAGGGGAATCCCCAGTATTTTTTGAGGAACTTCTTTTTGGTGATTTTCTGATGGGCAACATAACAAGAACAAAAATGTCAACAAATAATTGAGAATATTTTAAGAAAAAACAATTTTAATTAAAAAAAGTATATATTTGTTGTGTGTATTAAATGATAAATTAAAGTGATTAACTGTTGCAGGGGTGGACAACTGAAACAAAAATTGTAGAGACTTACCGGGAATCTGTTTCTACAGACCAGCAGAAGTGAGACCCGATCTAACGTACACGATTCCCAACCTGCCTTTAATGTGGTTTTTACTTTAGGCCAAACATGCTCTTCAAAGTCAGTGTCTGAAATCTGATGAGAAACAATCAAACAAGATCATTAACAGATAAAATGTCTAATGATAATGCTACTTTTACTACTAGAATGCATGTGACGAAACTTAATGAAACCTGAAGAACTCACCTACAGGTAAACAAAGATAATTGTTACCTTAGTTATGAGGTCCTCTACAATTCTGCTACACACAGGTTTCAAGTAAGATTTTTTTTCAGCCAGGCTCAACAGTTCTTCTACAACTGTACTCAGAGCTGCTCCGCTCAACTGTTGAATTCATTTTTTTTTATAGATTCCATAACTTACTTAAATAACAACATGAAATGACCTTTTTAAAACTGCCATGTGTTTCTATTAATAGTTTTCACTTCACACTACCTGTGTGATCCTCCCAGACTGGATAATGGTGGAGAAAGCAAAGGCTTGACCTAGGTAGATCCCACCTACGTCCTACAAAAAAAAAAAAAACAACTTCATAATAATGCAGTGAAAAGATTATTCAGTCTAACAGAAATTGTTTCTTTAACAGTCATCTAGAACTTACAGTTTTTGACTTATCATAATGTGAAACTTTCAGCTTCTCTTTGATTGCCGACAAGACATCAGTTGTATCAATCTCAGCATATTGTCTTAGCAGCTGTTAAAATATATGGAGAGCAATTTTACAGATGACATCAATACTACAAGAGAACAAACAGTTTAAGTGCTGGTAATTAAATGGTGAGAATACATGTCAGATGTTATACTAGCTGGTGAGGCTAGCTAGAGGCATATGTTGGTAATACAGGCATGATATTATACTGGCTGATGAGTGTAGAGGCAGATGGTGGTAATAAATACATGTCAGTTATATGAGATGGTAATATAGTCAGATGTTATAGTAGTAGGTGTCTAGCAGTGGTTCTTATCCTTTTAGGGGGTGCCAAACCCAACCAGTTTCATTTGCACATTCACACAACCCTTCATAATAGCTCTATAATCTGATAGTAAATCATAAGAACTGGGTGTGTGTCTTGACCTCTGTCAAACCCCTGAAACTGACTCGCCAAATCTCTGGTCTAGAGGTAAACTTTACCTGTGTGAGAGCCACAGAAAACCCCACCCGAGCAAACTTTCTTCCTGAGCTCAGTCCTCTCACCAGCCTATCTCTGCAGTATGTTAGAGTATTGGCTTTTATATCACTCTGAAAAGATTGGAAGAAAAAATGTCATAGTGTAAATTTATAATTAAGATCTAGACTATTCTAGTCTAGAGTGGCCTAGCCCTAGGGCTAGGGAGGTCATAGGCCTGTAATACTTTCATCAAAATGAAAAATATTAAGCCTAAACTAAAATTAGGGCCTAATAAAAATAAAATGAATAATTGAATAGGCCCTAGGCCCTAGGCCTAGGCTAGGCTAGGCCTGTTTACTATTTATTTTTATAGTATTTATTTTTCTCTGAGATTCATGCACTGAAGTTCTGAACATTCAGTTCTCTATCTGAGTCTATCTCATTAGGCCTATTTTAAAATATTTTTAATTTAGGCCTATAGGCTAATTTATTAAATTATTTTAATTAATATTTATTTAGGCCATGTTAGTAGGCCTAACTCAACTGGCGTAGAAATCTATCTGCAGTAGCATCTGGTTTCAAAATTTTAAGAAGGAAGCTTAGAAAGAGACAGAAGATTAGAATCAAGACAAATCAATCTATAGGCTAAGTAAGTATTAGATCTAGTAAGTAATAACTAATAAGTAAGAAGTGAAGTCTTTAGTCTTTCTTTAACCGTTGTTGTTTGTAAAAAAAAAAAAAAAACTCTCACCACTTCAGATTTTTCAATTAAATTTGCAAGTTTCAATGCAGCAGCATTTCTCTGCTCATCAGTGCCATCTGAAAGGGTCCAAAAAACATCTAATATTTCTTGAGATGGTCTAAAGCCAGCTAGTTTATTATCTTTATTTACTTCGGCTGGCATTTTCATTCCCTATGAAGAAGTCAAGGCAACAACTTGTCTCTAACTTCAGTACCACACTATTTTCAACACATGTGCTATTGTTGACAGCGGAAGTTTATGAAAACCCGGTTAATACAAAAGTTCTCCCGAATGAATTAGAAAACAAATAGATCTAGATCTCGTGAACTAGCCTTTATTTATGTTTAAAAAATCCCACTTGAATGATACTTAGACCTAGCCTAATAGTCTAAACCAGGGGTCTCCAAACTTTTCAGTCCGAGGGCCGCATTGGCTATCAAATTTCAGTTCGGGGGCCAGTTTCTTCCAGGCATGTCTTTGATATTTCTGGGCAAAGTTCCTCAGCAATCACTGACAAACAATTTTTCCTTGGACAAAAAGATCTCCGCGGGCCGGATGAGAGGACTTCGCGGGCCGCATCCGGCCCGCGGGCCGTAGTTTGGAGACCCCTGGTCTAAACAGCAAGCCAAGTGTCTTTGTCGTTCGGCACAATGCAGCTTTGTTTCATATTTCTTTACTTAAAAAAAAATCAGTTTAACGCAGCATCAGAGTTTCTTCCAGGCATCCTATCGGAGGGGGGGGGGGGGGGGGGGGGAAGGGCGACGACTGCCCCCCCCCCAAGAAAGTCTACCACGGAAAATGTAGTCCACCCCTCCTCCCCCCCCCCCTCGAAAATATCAAGTGCCCCAAGCCCCCCAGGAGAAAAAAGCTGGAAGAAACACTGCGTAGCATACATATTCAAATGTTGAAAAATTTAAAAAAAAAAAGGATAATATTTGTTTGCTTTAGAAACTTCGAAGTGGGAGTCTCAACTTTGTTAAAATCGCATAGGAAGGAGATATGGTAAAATTAAAAACTTCGTAGGCAGCCCCTTTTAAATTGTAACTTTATAGGCAATGTAGATCTAATATTTATATTAGTACTAGCCGGTAGCCGGGCTGGCCTTTATGAAAAACCTATGCCTATCTGTAAAGAACCGTGACTTGTGTGTTTTCTAAGCAACATTTACCCGGCATTGCTCGGGTTTAGGAAATATATTACTTTTCCAATTAAATGTCTATAGGCCTATGTAAATATGGACTCATAACTCTAAACTTAACCCTAACTACAACCAACCACAACAAAAACGCAAACAAAAACACAAAAGCAAGCACAAACGCAAACGTAACGCAAACAGAAAAGCAAACAAAAATGCAAACACTAACTAAACAGCAACACAAACTTTTTAAAAAGTGTTGTTTCTTTATTTTATTTTGTAAGTCACTTATGTATTTGGTACACAGGGACATAATTTGTGTACTTTTTCAAACAAAATTGGATTTTTTTTTGTAAAGGGTGATACATTGATTTAAATGTTGTTCTTTTCACGTTGTCAATCAAAATGATAAGTTGAAAAATGAAAATTAATTTTAAAATTTATCAATATTGAATTTTTAAATTGTCAATTTTGATTTTATTTTAGAAGTGAACACTTTAACGTTAAGAATATTACACAAAGTTGAGTTTTTACTGTACCATTGGTCCGTCTGTCACATACAGAACCACAGAGAAGCTTTATACCAGATCTATCTCGATCCTATGTATGGGTGGCCGCTACAAGACAGTCACACATTATTTAACACCCTGATTATTGTATAATACTAATAGGGCCATGCATATGAACTAGGCTACAGCAGGCAATTTTCACAATTTTAAATTGTTGCTCTGCTAGCCTTCATCTGTTAAAAAAATTATATAGTTCTATTTTAAAATGAAACAAATGTTAAGATTAAACAAGCATTCATATTTAGTTTTCATTTAACTATGTCCTTTGATGTGTTCTGCTATCTGACCTGGTATGAATTTGAATTTTCAAATACTAGGCTGATTAATAAATAAAAAACTATTGTAATTTGGAAGTGTTTTATTATGGTATCTATGGTAAACTAAAGATCCACTTATTAGTAAACAGAATGTCCATCTATTTGCTAAGATACTGAATAAGCTGAGAATACATCTTAAAGATAGTTTAAATAAAATATCTATGTATAGGATTATATTTAATGTAATTAAAATGTACTGCCGGGGTTTTCTATGCAGAAGGAATTTGCATCTTTATTTTTAATAAAAACAAGAATGAAAAGTTAAAATTCCATTTGTATTGAAATTCACTTTAGAAATGGTGTGCCCAATAAGCCATTTTATCAATCAATAATAGATTTTCAAACAACCTTTTAAAAAGTTGATGTTTATTTTTTCATCAAACAATTACATTTACAAGTAGAAAAAAAGACATTCTAAACAAGCATTTTGTAACAATCCAAGCTACTGTGTAAAGTGATCACATTTATTCTTAACCAGCATTTTGTAACAATCCAAGCTACTGTGTACAATGATCACATTTTGATGAGCAAAACATGGGAATTCAACAGCAAATGATTATACATGAACAGCAGTTACAAACATGGCAAATATCCCTACATATGAGAATTTTCCATTAATAATAAATATTTCTTTTGATGTTTAACTTGTAAAATATTCTTAAATAATATCATTCAATGTTTTGACAAAACAATGTCAACAAACCAATGATTCAATCACACTTGTCCTCAATAAATAATCTTCCTCACTGGAAACATAGCATTTAACATGTAACAACTGAAAATATGACATTTGATATGGAACAATGGAAAATATGGCATCTGACAAATACCAACTAGGATAATGGCATTTGACATGTAACAACTCAATCTAACACAAGTGAATCATCTAAACAGAGGCTCCCAATTTCACTGGTAATAAATAAAAGGTAGTTTAGTACTGATTAGCAGAGGCGTAGCGGGGTGGGGGCGACGTGGGGTGGTGGTGTGTGTGCAAATCAAAAGTTTAAAGTTTGAGGGGGGGGGGAGGGGGGGGGGTGATAATCGAAAGTTTGTCCCTGGGCGCCGGGAAGGGTCGCTACGCCTCTGCTGATTAGTGCAACATTCTCTAGTACTAATTATTGCAACACCTGTAAGTAAACATTCTCTAGTACTAATTATTGCAACACCTGTAAGTAAACATTCTCTAGTACTAATTATTGCAACACCTGTAAGTAAACATTCTCTAGTACTAATTATTGCAACACCTGTAAGTAAACATTCTCTAGTACTGATTATTGCTATAATAACCTAAAACTGGTTTTTATGAATAAACACAGATCTTGCAACTTGATATAAAGACAAAAAAAACAATGGAGGTTTAACACCCAGCAGTCCATTATCTGGATGGGAAATAAACATTTTATTTAAGTGCCTCTTGTCATAATAGCTTTGGAATTTTTAAGCTATGTGCGTGATTACATTCATTGGGTATGAGTGAATAATTACACATGAGGAATGATTTTATGATAAAATACTGGATATGGTAACAGGGTGAAGCATTAGATGTCAGACTCAACGAGAACATGAATGATGCAAGACCACCCAGAGTAGATGACAGTAAATACTAGCATAGGCTGCTATGACATGTGACAGTAAATACTAGCATAGGCTGCTATGACATGTGACAGTAAATACTAGCATAGGCTGCTATGATAAGTGCTGGCGGACAGTCTGTAAGCCTTGAATGTGTCTGTTGATCTTTAAGGCTGGTCCAAGTTTGAGGTCAAGCCCTCTGAGAACATCAGCTCGCTTGAGCAGCAGTAGAGCCACACCATCAATTTCCTATGGATAATCACAACCATCTCACTGAGCAATAGAGCTAGACCAATAATTTTCTCAAGATAATCATACTTTTAAAATCTCTGTACTAATAATTTAATAAGCAGAACAAAAAATTAGAGTTATTAGGACTATGCTAGGAAAACTTTGATCAGTGTTTGACTTAAAGTAAACTTTGGTTAGTTGTTTTACCTAGGTAAAGTTTAGCTAGATGTGTGACCTATGTCAACTTTCATTAGGGTATTACTGGCTAGTACCTGTTCTAGGAAAACTTTGGCTTCTTCAGTGAATCCGGCAGATGTCAGATACAGGACAACATCAGCTACTGACCACTGTGAAGCATCAGGGTACCTTCCAGATCCAATATACTTAGGAGCTGTTGGGATGAGATCTCCGTTCCTGAAGAGGAGAAGAAAGAACTTACGTTAGACAATTGTAACATCAAAGCTGACTGGATTCAGGGAAAGGGCTTTTATATTTTAAAGAATAAATTTAAAGTAGTAAATTATAAGTAGTTATGATTACTTTGCATTATTTAACTAAAATTAAAACTAACTTTACATTTAGAATTATAATTAACGATTATAACTAACACCACTAAAGAAATGATTTGATAAAAAAGATTAATGAGAAATGTTTGATAACTTACATGAGGTGTGTGGGTACAGGTGATTCTGCTGGAGTAGGGGGCGCAGATTCTAAAAGTAATCAGAAACACTATTAGCTTATTGTCTAAATGTGTTTTTAATTGTCTATTTCACTTCACTACAACAAACTTGCATACATCAAGAAAACTATAATCAAATTTACAAGCCAGACAAAAACACTGACCATTGGCAACAGTTTGTCTACTTCCGAGGCTTGCCATGAATTCATTTCTCTGAAGAGTTGAATTTTCTAACCTACAATCAGAACACTCCCATGTACCTGCCAGAAAAAAAATATCAATTAACCCATTAGCTATATAAAAAAACAAGAGGACAAACTATCATTTGTGTGACAGTTTAAATTTTAAAATACTGATGCACATATTAAGACTGATTTTATTGTCGCATTTTTATACACAGTGCCCTTCTACCTAGTGATAAAACTACATAAAACAACTGATCAGGATGGATAACATTTAAACGTTTAGTTTTTAGGAACTATGATGCTGTCCTAACCACCTAATCAAACTGTATAAAAACACAGCACAGCCAGAATACTGAATCATTCAATACCTTGTGCAAAAATTTTATTAAGAAAATTAAAAAGATAGACATTACAAAACAAAACACATGAAACAGATTTTATTAACTAAACAGACAAATATTCAATAACAAAAGAAACTGGTCAGACATACATTTGCTCTCTATACCTGATGGTTTTTTGCTAATAGGTGGCTGATGACAGTTCATGTGATAGCCCTTATCACAGCCATCACAGAACAGCATCTGGTCCTGCGTGTGCAAGAAATTAGAAAACAACTAATTATTTTCCACACCCAGATTTATTTGAAACAACAACAAAAAATAATTTTAATATGAAAAACAATTGGTTTTGCTTATTTAAAGTAAGACATATTTTATTAAAAACATTTTCGATGCAGGTAAGGAATTAACTAAGTGAATTATAATCCAAGCTACATAATATTTCCAGTGAGAAAACTTACAGGATCACCAGGGTCTTGACATAAACAGCATGTCTTACAGTCCATACACTGCCACAGACCCCTGCAGGCTCGAGTTGCAAGAAGACCATAATAGTTCATACATGATGGATGAGCTGGAAACAGTGGAAATAAAAAATAGTTCTAGTACAATATAATATTACTTCAACATAAAGGACTATGCCTAAATTTAGATACGCTCATCTAAAAAAACATCTATATAGGGGCCTATTTATTAAAGCATAACATAAGTAAAAATAAATCATTAAGCTATTTATCTTACTTGCTATTATTATTACTATTAATATTATTAGGCACCTATATTTAATATAGGCCTACTGTAAGTTCAGTAACACTACTAACTAACTTAGGGGTTAGGCCTAACTAACTTATTCTAGTCTATAATAATAATACTATAACTATAATTGTCAATTAATTGTATTAGTATTACTATTAGATCTAATCTAGACTCTAGTAGTAGTAGTATTTATGAGTCAGTATTGTATTGACTATTTTTAGTATTTAGTTAGTATTTAAAAAGTTCTGATTGAGAATGCAGGAAGTTCTGATTGAGAATGCAGGATCGATTATCGCATATCATAACGGGTGACTTATGTCAAGAACGAACCCAATGTTCAAACAATTTATTGAAATAATGAAAGCTGAGGACTAAAAAGTAGTAAAATCACACTAAGCCTAGCGTTTACAGTTGAAAAGGAACGTCCAAAAGTAACAACATCCAAGATACTAGACTAGATGAGACGTTTTGGAAAGAAGGGGGAGGGTGGGTGATGAAAAAGCGTGACTATTTACATTTTTTTTATGTTAAAAATATTTTTTAAAATGAACGTTTATAGATCTAGTTATAAGCAAGTTTTTGTTTGTAAAATCTGTATTAAAGATAATAGATCTAGTAAGTTGGATTAAATTGCATTTGAAAGCTTATTATTATAAAGTATAAAGGTTTATTTTATATTTGTTTTATTTTCTTCTTTGTAGTAATTATGAATTTTAAAAAAGTTACCGGATTTTTAAACTTTAGGCCTAGGGCCTTGTAGTAGTTTATTAATTGCATTCCTTTCGTCCTTTATGGGAAAAAATGTGCTTTAAAACCCTGATGAGTAGCTTGCGATATGATTGAGCTAAAAAAACAATTCAAGTATCTGCCCCAGATGCGGGGGCGGGATCACACCATTTAGCGGGGAGGGTGACAATTGTAGAATGTTGTATGATCATCGTCTACTCTACATCTTAATAAACATGAAATAGCCTACTAGCCAAATTTTATGTTTCACCAAAATATAGATCTAGTAACATACAACGCCTGCCCCCCCCCCCCCCAATATGATATATTTAACTCAGAGGCGTAGCGACCCTTCCCGGCGCCCGGGGACAAACTTTCAATTTGGCGCCCATCTCGGGATCAACCTTTCAATTTTCAATTTGCACCCCCCCTCGAACTATCGAGTTGCACCCCCCCCCCTCAAACTTTCGATTTGCACACCCCCCTCATATATTTTATTATATTTATAATGCATAAATGCAGCTAAAATATTTTTATTTGTTTTTCCAACTCATTTTGGCGCCCCCTAACGCCCCCTAAGGTTGGCGCCCGGGGACATATGTACCCCCCTGCCCCCCCTTCGCTACGCCTCTGATTTAACTCCGATAACTTTCCTAAATAACCCCGTAGTATTGAAAACTCCCAAACGGTAATTTAATTAAATCAATAACCAATTACTTTATTTAAAAGAAAACAGTTTTATGAATCTTTTTTGAAACCTTTACTTGGAAACAAATCAAAGAGGGAAAATTTTTCAGTTGGCATTTCTACAAATCTTCTGAAAATAGGTCTTATGGGAAAATTAAGGTTGCCAGGTGTCCAGTTTTGAACTGGACAGTCCAGTATTTGAGCAGACTGTCCAGGATAAAATAAATATAAATACTGGACAAGTATATGAATAATACTCTGTTACCCCCCCCCCCCCTTCTTCTGCTTTGCGACATACCTGAGAAGGGAAGGATGGAAAGGTGTCCAGTATTTTCGGAAACGGTATCTGGCAACACTAGGGAAAATAGCGAAACTTACATATTTTCTACTGCAACCTCATCTTTGACAGCCTAGCCCCCCCCCCCCCCCCTTTTCACCTTCCCAAAATGATGGTGTTTCACCTTCCAAGCCAAGTTTTGAGTAGATCAGCGTCGGTCACCCACCACCCCCCTGATTAACTGTAATAGGTTCGATCCTATCTTACTTAATTCACTTTGTTGATTCATTCTTTACAATTTTAAATGAATATTACCCTTGCTGTGGGGAGACGTGAAACAGCATAATAAAGGCCACATATGTAGATGTATGCCAAAAGATGGACTGGCCGAGGCCACATATAACATATGCCTAAGGATGCATTGGCCAGCCGGTTTAAACGGGAAAAATCTCCGTGAGCCCCCAGCAAACGTGCTGTACTAAGCCTATTAGATCTAGAACTTTGATTTAAAAACAAGTTAATAAAAAGTCTAGTGACAATTTAAGCGCAATTTCCTTAATTAATTTTTTTGTGACCGAACGAAAGGATATTTTTGAAAACTTTCTTCGGCAATATTGTTCTAAATTATGGCAGGAATCGATTGGTAAATGTTTCAAGTCGCTAAGTTATCTGGTTGCCGAGATATGGGCCAAACACTGCATTTTTTCGAGGTTTTTTGGCTTTTCCGGGAAATCCAGGAACGAATTCCGGGATTTTTTTTTGGCCCACAATCATCATCGGAACTTGCTTAACATATTTGCTTTTGGAACTAGTCCTCGATATTGCTTCGTTGAGAAGGAGATACGACTTAAAGCTGCGGACACACATCGGACACACATCCACCCAGAACGAGTTAATAATCGCAATTGTCCGTATGGAAATTGCGCTAAAAATAATTTGTCGCGTGAATTTCCATCAAGCTGGGGATGATCATCAGACTTTGATGTGGGCAAAATGCACAATGGCAATGTTCATGGGGGGGGGGGGGGGGGGGGAGGGGGGGGGAGCACTTTTATAAAATTTCCAACGCTTCTTGGTCACAGACAGTAGGCCTAGGTCTAACTGTTGCAATGGTCAAACAAAGGTCAAGCAAAGGTCAAACAAAGGTCAAACAAAGGTCCCATATGTATATGTAGGCCTAGGTCTACCTGTTGAAATGGTCAAACAAAGGTCAAGCAAAGGTCAAACAAAGGTCAAACAAAGGTCAAACAAAGGTCAAACAAAGGTCCCATATGTATGTGTAGGCCTAGGTCTACCTGTTGCAATGGTCAAACAGAGGTCCCATGACGCAGGCTTACCTCTTGCCGTGCAATCCTTGCAGTGGAGCAGGACCTCGTGACTCCCGTGAGGGTTGTGATTGGCTAGATGGCAAATGTCGCACACACGGTCACATGACGTGGACGTCTTTCTGACCTCTGACTTCCTGGCCAGTTTTTTCTCAGGTCCGTTGCCGGGGTGGAGATCTGTCGTTAGAATTCTCTTCAGCTGAAAGCAGAATCAGAACAAATCAACAGATATGACATAGATTCTTTAAATGATTTTAAAAATAAACAGATGCATTTTTTAGGATTTGAAAAGGACCAGACAATCAATCTAAAGCGGAAAAAAATGCTCAGCCCTTTAAAAAAAAATGCATTCGCTTAGAATAATTGAGTTTTTAAAGATTATTTAAAAAAAAAAAAACTAGCTCAACTGATTTGAATGATGGGTAGATTAGGTTTGTTAACGTAGCTGACACTCAATGGCTTGATCAAATCAAACTAATTTACAATTTGATTCAAATCATTGAGTTTAGGATTTGCTTTCAGTGCTTGATGACAAATTGATTCAAATCGTTGAGTTTAGGATCCTGATTTAATTGTTTGTTTACAAATTAATTCAAATCATTGAGTTTAGAATCTGCTTTCATAGTTTGTTGACAAATTGATTAAAATCATTGAGTTTAGAATCTGCTTTTATTGTTTGTTTGTTTTATTTGGGGGAGGGGGATAAATGAAAAAAAAAATCAGTTCGTATAGTTTCGTGGCTGTCTAATTTTGGTTGGTTGAGATTTATGTCCACACACGTGAAGAATTTAAAATTTTACAGGCTAAACATTTAACTAATGGTTTAAAGAAATTCGTACATTAATGTCACGTAGAGCATCAGACAAAAATCAGTACAAACAAGGGGGGGGGGGGGGGGGGTTGACGACTAAGGAAATAAACGTGATGGTTGCACAAAGCCTTTGTACGCTGTGGATAAGGAAAGCATCAACTCTACTTCAGCTACCCCGGGAAATATCTATAGGTGTTGCGATCTATTTTACAGTTACTTCCTGCTTGTGATATGTATGTGTTTGACTCATGTTGTATGCATGCGTGTATGTGTGTGTGTGTGTGTGTGAGCGCGCGAGTTAGTGTGTGTGTGAGTGCTCGAGTGAGTGTGTGTGTGAGTGCTCAAGTGAGTGTGTGTGAGTGCTCGAGTGAGTGTGTGTGTGAGTGCTCAAGTGAGTGTGTGTGAGTGCTCGAGTGAGTGTGTGTGTGAGTGCTCAAGTGAGTGTGTGTGAGTGCTCGAGTGAGTGTGTGAGTGCGCGAGTTAGTGTGTGTGAGTGCGCGGGTGAGTGCGCGAGTGAGTGTGCGCACTGACGCATCTTCTTATCTTAAAATCTAAATGCTAAATTAGATGAGCTCAGGCAGACGGTCGTTTATTATTTTGTTGTTAAGGCCGAAACAAAACATTCCTACTGAACGACGGCAATTTAAAATTTACATTAAGATGGGCTCTAAAAACAAGAAGAAAATATATGTATCAAATAGTCAGGTGGATAAAGGGGGGGGGGGGGCGGGCAACAACAGAGGGGGAGGCGAATGTATCAAATAGTCAGGTGGATAAAGGGGAGGGCGGGCAACAACAAGGGGGGGGGGGGGGAAACCAAGGGGAGGGAATAACAACCGATGCCAAAATCGATCAACTTTCATCGATCGGTTCATTTTTTACGGCAGCTTTCATTTGATCGCAGCTTTAGGGTAGACATTGGGTTAAGTTTACGGCAGCTTTAGGGTAGACACTGGGTTAAGACAAAATAACTTAAGGTATGGGGAGGGGGGGGGGTGTAAATTAGCTGTACACATTGAGAAGTTAACTTACTGATAGAAATAGGGGGGTGTAAATTAGCGGTACAATTTGAGAAATTAACTTACTGATAGAAATATGAGGATGGGATTAACTAGCTTTACACATTGGAAAGTTAACTTCCTTGTAGAAATACGAGGAGGGGGGGGGGGGGGGGGGGAAACTAGCTTTCGACATTGGGTTAAGACAAAATAACCTAAGGTATGGGGGGGGGGGTGTAAATTAGTTGTGCAGATTAGGAACTTAACTTCCTGATAGAAATAGGGGGGGGGTGTAAATTAGTTGAACACATTGAGAAGTTAACTTCCTGATAGAAATAGGAGGAGTGTGTGTGCATGGGGGGAGGGGGCGACTAGCAGTGGGGTAGCTAGGCTTTTCGGCCCATGTGCAAAACTTAAAAGTTGGCCCCTTCGTCAGTAGTTAGGCTACAACGAATTAAATTGGGCAGCGAAGAAATCGATTGTTACTTACGAGGGAGGGTTTTAAATCATATATTTTGTACATTTTGTAATTCACACGCCCTGATTGTATAGTTATACTACGTTATTATGTAGGCCTACTATCCGGTAGTTTGATTTAAAACACCAAACAAAACGAATGAACTCTAAACCTGTAAGATTTAAGTAACCAAACACAGTAGCGTCACAAGGCGGGGGTGAGGTCCGCATCTCATGACAACATTTATAAAATTAAACATTGTAAAATTAACTGTCAAAACTATGTTTTATCAGGCTAAAATAATAAACGATTATGGAGAGAGGGGTGACACCCCACCAAAATTGCTAAACTGTTGAGGTGGGGGGGGGGGGGGGTGACTCCACACCTTTATGAAACGCACAGATTTACACCCAACCTTGTGACGCCACTAACCATACACAATCTTTTTAAAGTTGTTCGTGATTTATTTAGATCTGGTTTTTTTTTTTTTAAATTTTGCACAATGATTTATAAGTTCCTTGAGATCCATTTTAGCTGCTTCTGTATGTTCGATTATTGGGATGGCCAAGTTACTGACCCAATGGGCATATCTACAAATTGTTTCATAACACAATAACATCATCATAATGATAACATCAAACAATGAGATTAAAAGAATTATTCCATCATAGACATCAAAATCTCCTTCCCGATCACCGTGGAATGTTAAACTTGCGTACTCGTCCACGTTGCTGCGATCTAGTCCCACATACCAGGGTAACGAAATTATATGTAAGGGTTTAAACAACGCAATACCAACTGTGTATTTGTAGTCGCGTGGCCTTTTTTTTCTAAAACTGAGATATTTAAAATGTAAACAACGCCGCTGCTATATTTTCGGATCTTTGTTGCTGGGCGCGGGTTGTCCACACAACCGCTCAGACGCCCTTGTACTTGTTGTGTGAAAGCATTGATAGTGAGGTTGAACACCTTTCGGCGACCGCCCATGTGTCAGGGTCGTAGCGGGAGTGAATGGTTATACTGCCGTAGGTAGCCTGGGACAAACCTCTAGTTCGGTTTTATCATCGAACGTAGTGGCCTACCGTGTCCCCAGTGTGTCGGTGTCATTCGTACGCAGAAAGCCGCCCCTTTTGCTGTTTGTTCGTTAAAGAAGTGCAATCAACGGATCCCTTGCACTCAGGAAGACCACTGGGTATCGCGGGGCGCACAACCGTTACTTTTGCTGATGCGCTGGAGGACACCCCTTATTCGATTTAGTAATCGATTTAGTTGCCCTCCGTATCCCTAGTGTATGGTGCTTATTAAAACGAATATAAGAGCAGTAGTGCTCATTGGGGGATCAAAAACTTGTTGTGTTAGTAGCGCCATTTTGATTAAAGATTAATTAGATCAACAAACGAAATATCATTAAGGTAAAAATTAGTAGAAAAACACTGACAAAAGTCGGACTTAGCTTGTTGTGAAAATACTGGTTGTTACTAAGGTTATACGATGGGCCCTGTTCGACCCCATCCCCCATCCCCTCCCCCCCCCCCCTCGACTGAATGTTACTGCCTGTATAGTATGAAAGGACTGGGGGGGGGTCTTTTTGGAACTTAAAAATTATTTCTACAGTAGAAAAGAAACTGGAATTTCGTTTTCTTAGTTATATAAAACAAATATTAAAATTCCATTGTAAAAGTTTAATTTTTTTCATAGAGGAAAAAGGGCCCTATTTTCATTGGGCCCCTATTTCTTCCTTACGCTAACTTTACGGTAACTACCCCACTGGTAACTAGCTTTAGGCATGGGGTTAAGACAAAATAACTTAAGGTATGGGGATAGGGGTGGGGGGGGGGGGGTAACTAGCTTTAGACATTGGGTTAAGAAAAAATAACTAGAGGTATGTGAGGGATGTAAATTAGTTGTGCATATTAGGTCTCATTAGTAACTTAACTTCGTGATAGATTAGGTCTCATTAGTAACTTAACTTCGTGATAGATTAGGTCTCATTAGTAACTTAACTTCGTGATAGATTAGGTCTCATTAGTAACTTAACTTCGTGATAGATTAGGTCTCATTAGTAACTTAACTTCGTGATATATTAGGTCTCATTAGTAACTTAACTTCGTGATAGAAATAGGAGTGTGGGGGGGGGGGGGACTAGCTGTATACATCGGGAAGTTAAGTGATAATTAACTTAGTTCTATCACATTCAGCTGTGATTGTATCGCATTCACTTGTGATTGTATCACATTCAGTTGTGATTGTATCACATTCAGTTGTGATTGTATCGCATTGAGTTTTTTTTTTATCACTTGACAAAAATATTTTATTCCTAAGACACCAGCCAGCAAAAAGAGATGTAGGTCAATTAAGTAACGGCACGTGTTCACATGCGCGCGCACGTTCTAGTACATTCTGTGGCCGCTAAATGGTGCACTAAGTTTAGTCGTTACTGCGTCCTGTATGGTGCACTAAGTTTAGTCGTTACTGCGTCCTATAATGTGCACTAAGATTAGTCGTTACTGCGTCCTATAATGTGCACTAAGATTAGAGTGGTTAAAATAAAAAAAGTAAAGCTTCCCTTTCAAACCTGACGGTCTATGGGGCAAGTGAAGTAGAGTTCACTTGTTTTTTAAGAGTGGCTACTGCGTCTTTACTCTTTGAATTAAATTAGTAAATAATTGGTTGCCATGTTAATTAGTAAAGTATTGATCACAAAGTTAATTAGTAAAGTATTGTTCACTATGTTAATTGTAATTGGTTTCCATGTTATTTATTAAATTAAACTATTGTTGCAATTTTGCTGTGGGTGTTTGTGTGGGTGTTAGTCAACTCAAATATTTGGGGAAATAAAGTGTGGCTTTTTACTTGTCTCTTCTGCCGCTTCAACCAAATTGATATTTACTGCAATACAATCTGTGTGGGTCACAGTGACATGAGCTTTGAAA